AAAACCCTCTAGGCAGCTTACTAGGTCGTATACACCCCAGGGAGTGGAGAATGATAACTGAAATGCATACGGATCCATTGGCCGGGGAACAAATAAACCGTCTAAGACCGACATCACATTTTTCTTCCCCAATTGACATGACACGCCATGATATAACACACAGGTCTTGGTCGTTCGGGGCCTCAGTAAAGCTTTTTAAAAGGTTTTATGGCAGATATGTTGAGGACATTTCCAAACTTGACACGTCAGTGGCAGAAGTATATTCCGATGCAGTTCCCTATTTATACTTGGGCCAGATGTTCCCGTGATGTTTCGGGACATTTGCCTATGCTTGTGACAGGTGCCGCCGATGGTGCGGTGTGCGCTCGCCTCTTCTCGAACGCCTAGTGTCGTCGTTCTTTGACAGTGATTAATAAACATATGCTCATAATAACAAGTGTGAACATGTTTGGCTATATGGTGGCGTCAATGAAGCTGGACAATGTCATAGATTGGGCTTCATGGCGAGTTTATACAGGGGCAACAAGTAGTTATAATGTGATTTGCAATAATGATTTACCAGAACAGACAAATATTGAAACATATGGCACGAAGTTTAAGATATGAAACCAACCTATGTAAACAGGGTTTTAGGAAGTTCGTCATCAAGAGTCCAAGGAACTAGAAATATATGATAAAACTAGTGGCTGCTGATGTAGTTACACTGATGCATCTCAGCAGAAAGTTCCACTGGATATTTTTCTGAAGTTACTACTGAACAAGAATTCTCCGTGGAATACTTATTCTCTTCCTTTGTCTTCAAGGTCTTTGTTGATGGCCTAGATCTAATAGAGGGTGAATAACGAATAATAGAATATCTCCTATCATCAATCAACAACATGTGTTCCGTAAGCTACAAAACATAAACTCAAAGATACATTGTAGAAAATACTTGGTTTCAAGCTTAATTATAGTGATAATGACAATTCAGAATTCAGTACGTGTATTGACTGTCGTTGGTTCTAAACTGAACTTACTTAAATGTCTGTTTTTATGACAATATGTCTGCCAAATTTGACAGAATATTACAAAAGTTCCATTTAGATTTATTTAGACTGTCAATGTAAAGAAATAGGAAATATTCGATACCTGTAAGTTTATTTGGAAACGAAACGCGATAGTGTTAGGCTTCGAATTTGAAAAAACTACAGTTATCAAATCTAAGTTCGAAACCTCTACAATGTTAACTCTAGGTTTATCTCCATTCTACCTGACATAAGGACAAAACAAACGCGATTTCTTTGGTTGTAGCGGAAATGCATCGGTTGACTCGAATATTTTCAGTTGGTTCAAAGAGCTAATTCAGAGATAAGTGAAGATCGGTTTTAGTCTGTACACATGTTTGCTTCGTGTACCGAAACCATAAGTTGCAATATATTCCTTGCGACTCGATGAAAACATGTAGGTATCCATAATTCTAACTGACATCAAAAGAGAAAATAAAATGACTTTTCGTAACTGTTATGACGTCATGAAGGTCTGCTGATAGAAAATCTAAGCATTGTGGCACGGTATACATCACGTCATTATGTATGTGTCAGATTAGCGCCAAACAAACGCATTTACAGATATAATACAATCTACACATATGTGCTGGTTATAACGTATTTTCCATGTAGTTTGAACATAATATACACAAATACATTTTGTAGGCAAAAATATGTGATAAACAAATTGATCTTATGTCATGACAATTACAAAATAAGAGAAAAAAGCATGAAGAGCGTATATCATTGTATTTCAGGAAAAGCAAGAGTACAGCGTCTAAAAGAGAGCATTCAATACAAATAATATCCTTATTACGTACAGTTTCTGAATGTTAAATGCGTTATACCTACTTCGAAATTTGGCAGTGCACTTTTTAAAACACTTTAAATGTGGAATAAAATTCTAACGATGGGCTATTTATGAGTTTGCAATGCCATTATTGTGTATAACATCAAACAATCTGTGCGTGAAGACTTCAATAATCAGTTATTTGTTACCGACGTCTTGAGCAATCCATATCTCACTTTATTTTGACAATTGTCAGTCCCATTATCTTTACGTAGTGATGTTTGCCACGAATCACATTGATCTTGGTCATGATCAATATGCATTTAAAATGTACTATCTTCTGCATCATCTCTTGTAGGGTTTAGGATATGTTTCATGTTCTTCTGCAACTCAATAACAGTAATATTAGTTGTCACTGGTATTGACCTACAATGTCGTTAAGTAATTTCTAGAAAAAACATTGTAAGCATTATTTATTTATGCCTTTGCTGGGTTCTGTCCAATATTTTTCTGATATTTTCTCCTTTTTTTTTGGAACACTGATTTACAAATTTGTTTCTAGAATTTATGGAGCTTTCAAAATGTTCCTCTGTTGGCAAGTTTCTGAAAACAGCTACGAGATCCCGTTTTACCATTAAACCATTTCCGTTGTAAAGGATACATATAGTTATTTCTGAATATATGTGTCTTACTATATCCACAGTTTTATTAAACAGCAGTATCAACATCAACAGCAGCTTTGATTATCTCTGTAAAATTACCAATCTGTCTGACAATTAAGTCTCATTTACATTTTCATAAAATAGTTATTCCTATGTCCGTCATGCTATTTGTAGTTCTCTCTGTCTATATACACTGAACACTTTCATTATCTGCGATTTAATGCTTCACTGGTAGTGCAATAACACGTGGAAGATGGTCTAATTTTGTACATGATTCAGTTCTTAATATACTAACCGATAAAAGTAACTGTGCTTCGTATAAAGCGGTGTAAATTTTGAACGTTACAAAATAATATAAGGGACTTCTGCTGATCAACATTTTATCATAACATATTCATTGACAAAAACCCATACTTGGTTACAGGAGACAGAGCGACACGCTCCAAAAGAGTTTTGGTGTAACTCAATTAACAATGCCATTTTCAAGTGTGACACCCATTTGCGTTTATACAGGCGAAGCAGCGGCGGCTTATTGAAGACACCAGATATTCTAAATGTTTACCAAAGATTGGTCCAACTGATCTAGCGTTTCCGGCTGGTTCTGATCCTGTCGTAGGCGTCGGTCTTCTCATCCTAGACATGTTCTAAGAGGGAGAGGTCTGGAGAAACAGCCGGCCCGACAGTACAGCAATGTTATGCTGCCTCAAAAAGTATGTTACAACACGTGCAGCATGTGGGCGAGCAATATCCTGCTGCGACATGTCGTTACGTCCCGGCATTTGCAAAAAAGAGTAGAAATGGTCTTGCATGATATCGTTCCGTTAGCCTACGCCATTCAAATTACCATTAACAATGAGTTGTGATGCCACCCTTTACCAATACACTTCCACCCCCAACCTGACGACGTTGAGTTACGCAAACGTCACTTAAACAGCCTCCTGGTCGCTTGTAGACCCTTGAACGACCATCAGGGATGTCCTGATGAAACCTGAACCCATCTGAGAACAGTATACTGTCACAATATCATCTCTTTGGATACGTTATCTACAACAGGGCAATACACATAATTTGTCACGGACTGGTCGTCCACATGTCAACAAGACAACCATATTTGGTTGGTGCATCTACCAAACTGCCACAGCAACAGCTCGGACAATTCCTGGCTTAGGACCAATTAGTGGCAGAACTTTCGCATCCAGTTGAAGCATCACAACATCCGGCCCCGACCGTCGTCCTGCAATAAGACCAGTGTTGCTTCCACAGCATTCTCAGGCACGCCTAGCTTAGTGCAGACAGCATCTCATGTTCAGAAGACAATAGTGTTTCGATGAACATTACAATGTCTGGCAAACTCCTTTCACGCCATTCCTGTTTGCAGCATACGTACGGCGCGGATACGTTGTTTTCCAGCAAGCCGTGGCATTGCGTAAGCGTTATTTACAGTTAAACAAAAGTTGTTTTTTATGAGGACCGGAAAGCTAAACAATCATCGTGAGCTGTTCATGATCACATTAAAAATAATCACATGTCTGACTATAATGCTCCAAACAAACACGCAAACATGCAAATTATGATCCGTGCAGAAACACGCAGGTGCAAATTGTGACCTACGACCTTCAAGTCGAGTAGATGTCTTCATGAATATGTATTGGGAGATGCATTATTTAGTTTCAGAATACATTTATTTTGCATTGAACTTAATATGTACATAGTTACTTTTTCCGTTAGTATATATTTAAACAAGGTCGGTAAAGCACACATAATCCGGAGCACTAAGACCATTCGAATTCATACAAGTGAAGTTACCCGAGTCATCGGATGATTTTCCATTAAATAGTCACTAAGTGGTTAAAGCGTTAAAACGCCCGGGTTCGATTCCCCATTCACATTGCGTGAAGCCCATTTCTGGTGTCACCCGATGTAATATTGTCTGAATATTGCTCAAAGTGACGTGACATCCAACACACTCACTCACTATTTAACAATATTGATGTTAGATCTTGCAGACCTGTAACAACTGTTTACCGTAAGTGTTCATAATATCATCCTTATTTACTCGTTTGAATAGGGGTGTGTCACTGATATCATACATAACTTCATCCAGTGGAATATGATCAATCCAATCATCCTCAATGAAATCGCATTCTGAACCAGTTCTGGCTCTCATGTCCCATTCCGCAAGATGATACAGTCTGGATAATCACTGTATATTTCAGAAAGCCCTAGATCTTCTGTGGTTTTCCTAGGTTTCTGTCGCTGATATTCCAGTGTGCATTATTCTAGATTTTTTAAAAAACAACTGGGAAATGAAAGGTCATGAACATGATTACATACATGTACAGTGGGATTTAAGCTTTTTGTGTTAACAATACATTTACTGACAAAATGAGAGATAACTGGACACAAAATGACGTAAGATCAGTAGCTCTTTGTTGTGCATGTTAAGAATTTGTGTAAATGTGGTTTTTTTGTAGGACTGCGTTTTGGGGAATTCTCATTTTGTCTTAATGCAAATTGTTTCAGAGCTACCAATCAACGACTGTGATGAACCCCCGCCGAGTGCCAATACTTACAGGACATTCCCTGACAATAGCACTGTGGAGTACAGATGTATCGACACCTACATTCTGTCATCAGGCGACCTCGTCCGGCACTGCGTCGATGGAAAGTACAATGGAACCTCTCCAATATGTTCTTGTCAGTTCCTTTGTGTATTTTTCTCAACGCATACTATCAGTGGAGTCGATAATAGTGTAACATGATTGGTATTAGATTTTACATAAAGGAACAAAAACATATCCATTATAACAAGAAATATCGACACATTGCAGAGTCGGTTGTAGGATTCCGACTATATCACTATCACTATCAAATAGTAATGATATCAGGTGTTCCCGAAAGGGTAAACATATCCTTCCCCGGGGGTGTCCCCAGTCACAAACACATGCAAGGGCAAGTCACCTAATTGTTCACCTAAAAAACACATGTCTACATTAAAACATCTTGAAAGCTTTACTCTAAATAACTTCTTTCAGTGGCATTTAGAAGTTGGTGTGATGAAGAAAGACAAGTTCTATGGATGAACAACTTCTTTACTACAATTAGTGCGACGTTTTGGTGTAGATCCTAACACTTGCTTGATAAAGGTGTCAGGATCTACACCGAAACGTCGCACTAATTGTAATAAAGAAGTTGTTCATCCATAGAACTTGTCTTTCTTGACGCCTTAAATGTTTTAACAAGGAACTTTTGAGCAAGAGTCGTATGAGGTGGTTTGAAATCTTCGTAGAAAGAGCATGCTCAAATGGACCGCTAGATACATCTAGACACCAAAGGCTGAGCTGCTGGAATATTGCTCTAAATAACGGAAAAGTGACATTAATGGTCTATGCCGCACTACAGTACTATTCTATATTGAAAGAATACAAAATCAGAGACACGTCGAGATCCGGGTTTGAATTGTATCTTCAGTAACTCAAGCTTGTCGTAAGAGGAGACAATGCTTGTCGAAGGCGGATCGCAATCGGGTGGTCAGGATCGCATGTCATCGTACCCAATTGTGTAGATCGATGCTCTTGTTGTCAGTCACTGTGGCTTGTGGTCCAGACTCGAATATTTACAGACCGTCGTCATACAGCTGGAATATTGCTTATTGTGGCGTTAACTGTCAAACAACAAAACTAAGACTAATGTTTATTCAAATGATCATCGTGCAGGAAGCTGAAACACAATAAGTTTCCTTCTTCCATGCCACGTAGAGAAACCCAACACTCATGCATCAAATATTCATCATACGCAATGAATGTTGCGCACCGTTTTACCTGACTTGTTTCTTGTTGTGGTACTGGGTGGTATTCTCTTCTTTATTGATTCATGAAAGACGATAGATTTCATCATGAATAAATCTATGAGCTGTGAGACCTTTAGTCGCATTTAAAGCTTAAAAGTAAAGCTACAGCAATACATAACACCAAGAAAACGTTTTCCGAACGTGTGTGCTAGTGAGCGAATCTCGTTTTACACCGCAGACAGCAATATCAAAGGGACATCAAAGCGTCCTGTAAAACTTAAGTCTTGGCCAGACAAGCCAATTCAAGTCGGCTCCCGCGAAGCTGGGTGACCATTCTCATTACGAATCGGCTCCGTCTTCATAAATAACCTAATAAATTAAATATAAAAGAAGTATAGATATCGGAACAGAAAACACTAAAATACACGAAAAGGAAACGCTTAAAATAATTTTGTTTCCATTCAAAACTGGCTTCCAAAGGCGGTATATCAAGGTGAGATAAAGCGATGCATTTGCTTCTCAATGCGTTGCAAACCACTGTGACGTCTTCGGTTACCATGACGCCACAATAAAATAATATCACTAATCGCTCTGCCACTGTTGTTAAAAGTTTAAAACCCCTCGGCAATCATCGGAGATTTAAACTTTCATCAACTCGGGTGAGATTCTTCATGTTATATTACGCTTCCATATTTCAGTGACCTGTGGTCCCCCCCTGAACACAAGCTACGCCAGTATTAACTCTACCGGAAGTAAAGAAGGGGACACGGTGACGTACACATGCCCCGACGGTTGGCTTGTGTCCTCGACAAACACTGAATGCAGTGGTAAAGACGGGTACTGGCTTGCTGGGGACAGATGCTTTGGTAAGCGGTGCAACAGAATACAGACGTACATATGATGAAAACTACATGTACATAATTATCAGGTCTTCAGCAACCCATGCTTGTCGTAAGAGGCGCCTAACGGGATCGGGTGGTCAGGCTCGCTGACTTGGTTGATGCATGTCATCCTATCCTAATTGCGCAGATATCTGCTCAAGATGTCAATCAATGGCTTGTCTGGGCCAGACTCGATTATTTACAGACCGCCGTCATATAGCTAAAATATTGCTGAGTGCGGCGTTAAAGAACAAACAAACCAAACCATAATTATCATGTATTACACATCTATCTTGGAATTTCAAAAATGATTCTATGGTAACCTCAGAAAAACTACATTCACACTCATGTGTGACGCTGTTTCCCATACACTACTAATTGTATTGATGTGTTGTATGTGATTGTATTGATGCAATCACCTTTGTTCCGTTCTTCTGCGTTTCTTAATTTTTATTGTTTTTATTTATTGCAATTTTAATTGTTTTACTAAAAATTGACAACTCGTACATTCATGTTTATCCGTAAATGTACATGATAAAGAGGGTTTGCAAGGTTATTCTATATGAGCACTGCATTAATGTATCACCTCTCCCAATCCAGCAAATGTCAGTCTAGACATTGCAGCGCTCACTGCAGTACAGACGTCCACTGCGACTTTGAACGACATCCGCCAGACCACAATCACACCTCTCTCACTGTCACTCACCCCTACATTTGATGCTGCTAACGCCCTGGATCCAATAAAGCTTGGAGTAAGTCTTCTCACCGGCGACTGCAGCAGCACTGGGCTTGAGCAACGTCCTCATATGACTGTCACTCTTGACAACTACTACACCATCTATCAAGTAGCCGTGACACTACCGGATGATGACTTTGGTGAGGTTTTATCTAGATCTGGTGACACAAAACACGTTACTAGGTCTTCAGCAACTCATACGAGTACTTGCAGTAAAAGTCGACAATGCTTGTCGTAAGAGGCGACTGCCGGGATCGGGTGGTCAGGCTCGCTGACTTGCTTGATGCAAGTCATCGTATCCATATTGCGTGGATCGATGCTCATGATGTCAATCACTGGATTGTCTGGTCCAGACTCGATTATTTACAGACCGCCGTCATATACAGTGTAGCTGGAATATTGCTAAGACCGGCGTTAAACAAAAACAACCAAGCAAACAACTGATTCAGTGATATAAAATAGAAACGCAAAATTATGGAAATCTTTTATATATGTCAGAAGTTTATACATAGTGACACAGTGGTTCAAACATATGGCTGTTATCATAGTCGCCAAAATGTAGCTAATGCAAAGTACACATCACACACATTCGCTAAAACCCATCCACGTAAGACATGAAATCAAGGCCTATGAAAGTGCTTGGCTGTGGTTTCGTCGACGTCGACGTCGACGTCGACGTGAACGTTTTGTACCCAACTAAATACAGGAAGTCGACACATTCGGCGGGGGTACTGTGGTGGAGTGAGCAGCAATGTCGAACAACGGTTCCAACAACGAACCAACCTGGTTCATGATCACTCACTGCAAAACCGAACCGAGATGAAAGTTTGCAGTTTTCCACGTCAATTCGATTGTGCAGAACGTCAACACCCTATTCCAGCACGATAATTTAAAGACCTTTGTCTTTTGACCTGTCATGTGACCAGATTCAAATGTAGTAGCATGTGTCATATGTGAACATTTATCTGATTTTCGTTGATCCCTTAAATGAATCTATTAAAAAAATCATCAAAAATTCATTTGCGTTTGATCTTGAGGGTTGGGGAGGGGGAGGGGGTGGGCGTGGGGGGTTGGGGGGGTGTGGGGGTGGGGTGGGGGGTTATATTATGCATCTATTCGATCCAGAGATACATGTCGATCTAGACATTTCAAGTGACTAGTATATTCACAAACACACGTATCGTTCTCATCATTTGTCGCAAAAAAACATTTTTCTCTGTTAACATGTGATTATAGTGCTGAAATGTGTTTCTAACGTGGTAAATGACATAGCGTGTGGATATGTCTCATAAATTGACTTGAAATATAACTTTGTATTCAGGAGCAAACTGTGTATGTATCAACTTGGTCTCGTCGCTATGTGGCTGAAATAATGCCGATGCGACGTTAAATTTTAACTCACTCACATTACATTTTTTACATAGATATGTATACGTATTTGGTATTGGCATTGTAGACTCCGGTTTTCTAAATTAATTGTTGTGTGAACACACATGTGTCATGAATGCTGTGGATTTTCGATTTTCTTCAAATCTACTCATACATCATTTCAATGTTTATATTTGATACATTTAACTGTTTATTTGTGCAAACTATTCATATGTGTCTGCTTTTGTAGACTAACTTATAGTCCGCGAAACAAAGTTATGTACAGTATTACGGTTTAATGAAATAGTTCTAGAAACCTTCGAGTCTCTTGTAGGGGATGCTCGAGCTGAGAAGGATATGCGAATGGGATGTGGGTGATTGTCACATAAAATATATGCTCGAGCTATAGCGTTTGTAAGGGAGACTACCCATTTGTGTTGTTCAATTGGTGCATACATCCTTTGTGACACTGTACAAAGTGTATCCAATATAACAACTACTTCAACTTTGGTCGGATTTCAGCCTTCTCCCTCCCCAACCTGAATATAGGATCTTCCACACGTCTCCAGACGACATGGCAGACTTGTATGAAACACAAGGGCACTATACCCTCTGGGTCCAGGTTCGTGGCTACATGTGAAGGAACACGGTACCCAGTGCACGGAAAGTATCTACTCCTCGAGGTGGACTTTGGAGACGAACCTGGCATGTTACAGATATGTCAGATCGAGGTGTATGGCCACCCTTTAACATCAGGTATGTTGTGGTGTGTTATATGATGCAGTATCCTGGTGGGTGAAATTTAGAATGATCCTCTCAAAAATATGAACAATGTGGGAAGGGGGACTCTTTTTATGGGGATCAGGTTTTTGTGTGAAACGATTTCATAATGGACACATTGTTTTTTCTGAGAAATATTCAGCTGTACAAATGTAACTTTCTCCCAGAGCACATATTTTGGCAGAACAAACTGCATTTCGGTCGAACAATTAATGTTACTATTGTAAAGCCCGAGGTCAAATTATTTATTCTGACAGTTTCTGGAATATTAAATGATTGATCTCTAACTGATGGATGACCAGAATCAGATGACCAGATAACACGGATAACATGCTAACCAACTGGATGGCAAAAATGCTGGCAGCTTTGATTTGTAAAATTACCCATACTTTATCGATTGACACCTTCGTTGTATGTAGTACGGTGGGCTAGCCAAGTGGCCAAGGCCTTTGCTCGAAACAACGAACCAACGAAGGCCCAAGCTTGGTTCCTCACGTGGATACTATGAGTGAAGGCCAGTTCTAGTCTGGAATACTGCTAAAAGCAACGAGAAACCGTACTCACTCACTCACGATTTCATGATTTCCCATGCGCATACTGACAGGTGAGCAAGGGTTAGCACACTGTGTTCATTGTGTTCATGTACAGTCAGCCACGAATCACAGTGTCTCGGAGTCATATATCAAACAAACATCTTTATAGTATCCATAAAATAGAGCACACTCAGCTTTAGAACGTATAAAGGTTCAAAATAGATAAATGTATTGTCCACATGTGATTACATACAATAATTTAAATATGGTAAGTGATTTCGCCATAAACCGGTACAGTAAAGTATGAATTTGGGGCGGTTGCTAATCCCTTTCTAACCTTGAAAATTTAAATCATTTAAATTTTACTAATGCCTTTCTAAGATGTCCAGCACAAAATACTACTAAATTGAAACAAATAGGTCAGAATAGGTGGCCAATTTCCCGTGCTAGTGGTACGAATCGGGTAAAATTAGCTTCCAGTGCTCACAACAGGTGAGCTGTGCTGTCAACCGCATGCTCATTTTATGCTAGGAACAATATTTAAGATAACCCCCAAATTTGTTCAGAAATGATATGAAGAGAAATGATGTTGTGGAATTCAATCTTCATAGTAAGGTCAGTATCTGGTCGATGCTCGGTGAGCATCTACGCAGGCACAACTTCTGGGCATACTGGAACTCAATCGCTGTATTGTCTCCCTTGGCATACTTCGCCATTCTTCTTGTAAGGCCTAACAGCGCTCATGCAAATTCTGGGAACCCTGAGGTCAGGATGTGTCAGTGTGGACGGCATGTTTTACGTGTGCAATGTAGACAGTTGGTCATATCGATTTTATACCTGAAATGACAGGGGCTCCCTTAAATATTGTTCCTCGTATATTTCACGGCCGCCTTGATAAAACTTATAGTCCAAATATAGTCCACACACACTCTCTATGATATATAGTCGTTGGTACGTTACGACAAATATGCAATTAAAGCCACCTTAATTACTTTTGATAAGCTTCTTTACATCGATGTGATGCCTATTTATTGATATACGCACGAGAGAGCAGATGTTGGCTCTCACGGTTGACACAAATGTCATATTTCTGACAGCCAGAGCCTCTGATTCTCATTAAATACAGGAAAGAGCTCCATTTTCAACCCGTGTAAAAGCAAAGGCAGTTGATTTGCAGTAGATCATGGATTCTGTTTTATGCCTTCACTGGTTTCCACACAGTGCCATTCTTTGGTTGAAGAGGGAAGACAGTAAGTGAAACCACATTCTTAGTGTTCCTCTATTCGAAGCTGCTGTACTTCAACCGACAAGAGAAGCAACATACCAGGCTGTTAATGCAAGTTTATGTTTCCTGTTCACGTACTTCGATCTTCAAGTAAGAAGGGTTAAACTTAGGAGAGGAGTGGTGGCTGGGATTGCAAATTGGACCATCCTTCGAAAGGCTGCTCCGACTTTCCATGAACTTCTCAATCGTCGTTGTAAGAAATCCTTGTTTTGTGGTGAAACTACAGGAAAAAACACCAATGTCTTGTAATGAAAGTAAGAGATTGATGCCCGAAGAAACCAAGCTCAAAGTAACAACATTGTGACAGTCATGAGCACGTGCATGTGCATAGGGTGGCATGATAGATTTACCATTGTCACTCAGACTCGGTTGTGAGCAGATGCATATTGGCTTCTTGGAACCAAAACCTCAAAGACACTATATTAATCACATTTAATTAAGGAAGCAACATCATTGATCATGTGATGTTTGCAACGTGCCATGGGCATGTTGCCGGTGGGCGCATATTGTCCATGTAACTGCGTTACATGTTGTCCGTGGTAGAGTCACAAGGCAATACTATCGGGACATTAACATTGCATCACTCGTGGTGCCATCTGCACAACGTTTTGGGCAAAGTTTCATCTTCCAAGGTGCTAATGCACGTGCTCATCGGCCAATGTCCTTAAAAAGCAAAACATCCATGCCATGGCCAGAACTCCAGACCAGATTTTACCCCATTGAAAACGTCAGGGACGTCTTTGGCAGACGTGTACGTCACCGACAAAATCCACCCACCACTCTCAATGAACTCTTGCGTTGCCCTCACTAATGATGGAACTACATGAGTCAAGCTGACATTGGTCGACTCATCAGAAGCATGTCTCGAAAATTTGTGCATGCCTGGCCAACAGTGGTGGTTTTACCCGACATTTGTGATGTTGGCTGCAAAATGCAAACTTCAAATTTGCCCCCGACCTCTTTAACGATATCATTTGAACCCATAAGATTTGGTCGCCTACTGCCCAGCAGATATGATCACATCATTTGCCAATACCCTATCGATCAGAGGACATGTCTTGACGATTCCCACCAGTGTTTGGCATAGTATTATATTTTGCTGGCATTATACATTTGTATATTTAATTATGATCTTTACAAAATGAAACACATTATATGCTTTGTATGTCCTACTTTGCATTGACATGTATTCCAGTCGATTGTGGTCAACCTCCTGCAGTACCTTTCGCAGTGATAACCACCCAGCCATCATCTACGCACTACGCCTCCGGCAACGAGGCAGTGACATATGAATGTATAAGCGGATACACGAAGAGAAATGGCAAGGGGACGGGTTACTGTCATGCCAGCGGTTACTGGATCATCAACATTAAATGCACAGGTTAGTGAAAACGTGTGTTTTGTTTGTTTTTAACATCGAGCTAACTAAAGCAATATTCCACCTCTATAACGGCGGGCTGTAAATATATGAGTGGGACCAGACAAACCAGTGGCTGATATTATGAGCAACGTCCGACGCCGTCGGGGTACGACGTCACGCTATCAATCACGTCATCGAGCCTGATCACCCGATCATTTAATCGACTCGTACAAGACGACTAATTGTGACTTATTCTAATCAAGAACACAATGGGAAAATGAAACATGAAATAAAGGCAGGAATTCGAAACGAATGTGTTCCCTCCGTCACATATGACGGGTTGATGCAAATCCTGCAGACTCTCATCACGACTGACAGAAACGATGTATTGATCACCGTCACCAGCCGGCCGTTTGCGGTGCATTGAAGCATAATTGGTGAAAGTCGTATAAACCATGGTCATGACTTTTGGACGACTTGTTATCCGGGGAACTGGTGTTTGGATATCATGTTTAAATGTATGTCGTGGCAGGATAAATCTTCTAAGTGGCAACGACATTCTTTCCACACATATGTACAATATGGGTTTACTTCATGAGTTGTACGAATTAATCATTACGGCATCACGCATTTACCGTGAAACATAATGCGTCTAGAAACTTAACTTTTAGGACGATTCTAAGTAAACTAAGGATTTAATTATTCGTTATTTCGGATAGTAGTTGTTAATATGGACGAATTCAATGTAAACGGTACCGTTCGGATTAATGAGGGGTGTTTTATTACTCCATGCCTTGGTCTCATGGTGCATTGGTAATCATCTTGTTGACCACTGCACTGTGTATACGTACGCGTCAAACGGGTTCAGCGAATGCCTGATCAGTTTGACAGCTGCCGTAAAGGATATGGCTCATGCTTGGATCAACAAAAGTGACAGGATTTACTTATGAATACAATCTTGTCAGCTAATGATGACGGCATCAATAACAAGGCATCCATATCACACGCCATCCTTGCATGCTTACAGTTGAAGAAAAAAGTTATTACTTTGAAAACGATAGGATCCAATCCTAACTAGCCAAATGCATGTCATGGAGGAATAATGAAAGGTTTGGCATAAGCAATGCCTTAAAGTGAACTTGATGCCGTGGAAAAACAAAAGATAAAATTTAGCATAATCCCAGAACAACAAAAGCATCATCACTTTCACAGACATAGAGAAAACGGTTTTATAGGTTATGCTCTTGAAACGAACTCTACCTTCTTAATGATGTATTCAAAATGTCATATATTGAAGTTATCGAGAAATTGGCAGGACTTTGCAACATGTTCACAATTTCAAACAATGGCCACAACTCTGTAACATATTAATTCCCAATGCTGGGTTTCGAACTTAACCAAAATGCTTTATGTGTCCCTTCAAAAGGTCATCCTTATATCGGTGATGGTTTCTGAAGTAAGCTTGTTCTCAGTGAAGGTCCTGTATACTATGGTCATAACTTTGTACGATATTAATTTTCAGTAAGTTTTCGAACTCGATCATTATGTATAATGAGGGTACCAGCACCCTCTACCTTCAATCCCGAATACCATCAAAGTTTTCACTCTGAGTCTAATTTGCTCACCCCTGAATCCCGAATACAAATCTCAAAAGCACTAGTCAGAATTTATTCAGGCAGAATCGCAATCACAGACGGAAACCTATGAGACACGTTCCAAGGTGATAAAAAGGAGCATAATTATTGAAAGAAATATAGAAGAAATAAAATATCTAAAGAAATTGTTATTGTTTGTTAAATGTTGAATCGAATACGAGTTTAAATTTTAAATTGAACCCCGAATCCCACGTACCAAAAGGGGGTTGGCCGTCTCTATAATTTCCTTAAATGACGTATGCAAGTGTCATCCTTGTATTCTTAGAGGTTTCCGAACACAAACCTGTCTCTATTGAAGTGGGGCTGACGGAGCCGAAACCTTTATCGGCAGATTATTAATCTGTCCACATCATGCCTATGGTTCAACTTATTTCCTTCCCTTCACAGCTGATAAGAACCTCTCACACAGAAAACCCGTTTCTCTGTCCAACAACGACACCATTGACGTCTCACAACTGACGGACGGAAACACGTCATCGTGTACTGTACTACGGAATGTTACCGAGGCTACGTTTGTCATTGATCTGGGCAAAGATACTGAAGTGAGCGATGTCTCCATCACTTTTTATGGTAAGCGAAGTATAGCGGTGTTCAAATAAATGTACACATGCTCCTGTTTTTGGAGTTTAAAACTATATAAGAATGAAAAGTGTAACGTATACCAATGTTTAATAACAATAAGCTGGTATTATACAGTCTTCAATACCAAAGCGCGTGTTAATGTACTGTAGTTTCACAAGAAATATTGAAAACTCTCAACATCGCTGTGCTTACTAGTATTCAATGACATTGCATGTTGAGATAATAGGTTACAGAGACGTTATGCACCCACAATGATCCCTAGGAACCTTGTTGCTATGCTGACGTCACAGGGTATTGTTTCGCCGGTGTATCTTCAACAATATTTAAAAAATTACGTCATAGGGTATGGTGACGTATGGTAAAGTTTTCTGGAGCTGTGGCACGATTCACTATACTCGCTCCCTTGTAAAACCAATTGTTGAAACTCGTATACCACGCGATACCAGAACTATTCACATGGGAGTCCAGTGTTCTATATTTCTATAGAGGCAGAGATGCTCAAGAACGCCTATACGGACGTGTCAGTGCGACGTG